CTGTAACCTCAGCATCATTCTCTGCAACCGACAGGGTGCTTCCAATAGTGACTTCTTGAAGATGGATTGAAGAGGTTTGTGATCTGACTCTATCGTGATTTTATCTCTTCTCGATATGTATTGAGAGAACTTCTGGCAGCCGAAAACAATGGCTAGACACTCTTTCTCGATCTGTGCGTATCGTCTTTCTATCTGTGTCAATGTCCGCGAAGCAAATGCCACCGGTTGGCCATTCTGAAGAAGCGATGCTCCAAGCCCTTTTTCACTTGCATCACACTGAATCGTAACTTCTTCACTTACGTCGTAGTACTTCAGTACGGGATGTTTGCTCACCAGGTTCTTCACTTCAGCAAAGGCTTTGTCATGTTGGGATGACCACAAAAATCTGGCGTCCTTTAACGTAAGGTCCCTGAGAGGCTGTGCAATTTCGGCTAGCTTAGGTAGGAATTTGGCCAAATAGTTGATAAAGCCAAGAAGGCTCAGCATTTCTTGTTTCCCTGTGGGCTTCGGCATATGTTGTACCGCTGCTATCTTCTCTGGATCAGGTTTAAGACCGTCTCTGCTGATAAGGTGCCCCATGAACTTGACTTCTGTCCTCCGTAAGTTCATTTTCTTGCTGTTCAACTTCAAGTTAACTTTGCGTGCTCTATCGAGTAATCCCTTGAGATTTTCGTCATGATTTCTCTCCGCCTCTTCTTGTGTATCTCCGTAACCCATCACCAACATGTCATCTCTCAGGACTTCCACGCCGCGTAGATCCGAGAGTTTCTCTTGTAACTTGCACTCGAACTCCTCTGGAGCGGTATTGACACCAAATGGCATACGCAAGTACCGGTAACGGCCAAACGGGGTCCAGAATGTCGTCTGTTTGCTGCTTGCTTCGTCTAGAGCTATCTGGTAAAACCCGTCCTTCGCATCAAGAGTGGTGAAGACCTTGGCTTTACTTAACTTTGGGAGCATCTCTTCGGGGGTTGGCATCTGGTATTTCGGTCTTTTCAGCGCTTTGTTGAGATCTTTGGGATCTAGACATATTCTGATCTTGTTTGGCTTCGCCACGACCACCATACTACTTATCCAGTCCGTTGGATCAGTTTCTTTCACAACGATACCTTTCCTTTCTAATTCAGTCAATTTCTCTTTAACTTCTGTGTGAAGTGTTACGGGGACACGTCGTGGCGCGTGTTGCACTGGCGTGCTCTCTGGATCTATAAAAAAACTCGCGTCTCCGATATGTCCTAAACCTTCGAATACGTCTTTATATTTGCTTAGGATTTCTTCACGTCTGAGAAGTGGTGAACTTTCCTTGACGACGTTGACTGGCTCGATATTAAGTTTGATCAACCCAAATTTCTCGCACGTTTCTGCCGACAGCAGGGGCCTATTCTTGGTCTCGATTACTTGGAACACTAAGTTTTCGGTGACTTGGTTTCTTTCGACTTTTAGATGAGCAACACCGAGAGGTTTCATCATTGAACCATCAAACAAACGGAGTTTTGCTGTCGAGCTGTGTAGTTTTGGGTATCCGATCTGGGTTATTCGTGACAAGTCGTCGTAGCTCATGACGTTACATGTCGCTCCAGTGTCGAGTTGGCACTCTAGGTCCTTTCGAAACTCTGTCTCTATATCTTGGAACTTCATATTCGCGTATACTTGTTTCCCTTGCGATCGTACAGATGATACATCTTCGATTGTGAATATCGATTCTTCTGAATCGGATGAATCAACGGGTATGTCTTCCTGTTTCACGGCTCGCACGTCTCTTGTGTTTCTTGGGTTTCCTGTGCTCCGACACACTGCTGCAAAATGGTTTTGTTTTCCACAGGCATTGCATGATTGTCCAAACGCTGGACAGTTCTCAAGTTTGTGGTCTTGTTTTCTGCCGCAGTGGTAGCATTTTTGTTTGAAATTCTTATAGCCTTGGCCATGGCTATCTCTGTTGCTAGCGCTACCAACTCGCGGGCTAGCCGATCGGAATTTGGATGACGGATACTTATGGCGGTTTCCTTTTTCTTGTACAGCATTTACTTCTTCTGTTTCTTTTGTCGTTGACATTGACTTCAATTGTATGTTCGCAATTTCGCTTGAGCGGCACATGTTCACGGCCTTGTTTAGGTTGAGACCATCTTCTTTGAGAAGTCGTAATTTTGTCGATCTGTCCGTAATTCCCAGCACGAGTCTGTCTCTAATTAATTCATCTGTCAGTGTCCCGAACTGACACGACGAGGCGAGTTTTCTGAGGAGATTAACATAGTCATCTACGGACTCTTCTGCATTCTGAGAGCATAAGTTGAACTTATATCGCTCGTATACCACGTTTCGTTTCGGTTTGAAGTGTGCTTCAAGTGCTCCGATGCATATCTCGATATCTTTTCTCTCCTCAACTGTTAGTTTTAAATTCATAAATATCTGCATACATTCTTTGCCCATTACTGATCGTAGCGTGATGCACTTATAAAGTCAGTCACACGGAACGGACGTATGTTTTTAGCTCCGATAAAAATTGTTGACTTTCTTGGTCTATCTTGTCTGTGAATCGTCCATTGCTATCTATATTTCAACCTAATAAATATAAGAATGCCTCCAAAGAAAAAAAAGCAAAACGAATCAAATGGTTCAAGCCTGGAAACGGTTGGAGCGACTGCTGCGGATGAGAATTCTGCTATGCCAATGGCGACCTTTCCGTCTGGTTTGGAAGACCTGCTCGATCGGCGTCTAAATCAACAGTTTGATAAGATTAACGAACTCTTTTTGAAATTTAGCAATACGACAAAAATTGATTTGCAGTCGATAAAGAAAAGCCAGGATTTCCTGGCCGAGAAATTTGATGATCTAGTTGCTTCGACTAGCAAGCTCAAAGATGAAATCACAGAGCTTCGTAAAATTAACCTCAAGCTACAGAATCGGGTTGATGCTTTAGAGAGTCAAAGTATTCCTGTCGAAAATGATATTGAAAGTATGAAACGTTATCTGCGGAGAGACATGCTCGAATTCCATGGAATCCCTGAAAGTTCGGATGAAAATACCACCAGTATTGTATTGCAAGTTGTTGAATTGATTGCACCGGAGTTACACTTGTGCCAGTCAGATATATCAACTAGCCATCGTCTTCCTACAGTATCCGGTAGAATCAAACCAATTATAGTAAAATTTGTAAGACGCGACATTCGTAATATGGTATTCAGTAAAAAAAGAAATTTACGTGCAAAGACAGCTCAAGACATTGGTTATTCACAGGATAGTAAATTGTTCATTAATGAGAGCCTTACTGCTATATCCCGTGCCATTTTTAACAAAGTGAAAGAATTTAAACGTCAACATGAATTCAAATTTATATGGACAAGGCAGGGAAAAATTTTGTTGAAGAACACATTGTCTGAAACACATGTTTTCACTTCCCTGAAAGAATTCGAAGCGTTTAATGAGAAATTTGGTGTTTAAAAAGACCTCAATGAGGAGTTCTAAGCTAAGTTGTGTGTGGGAGTAAATTTTAGATCTATAATTTATTCAATTCGCTTCACTAAACTCATTGTGTGAATTACCATTCTATCATCTTGATGATGATAATTTTGATCTAGTCATGTACGAGATGTCCAACGGCTGTGTGAACTTCGACTCAGACAGACTTAATTGTTTAAAACTAAATCCCTTGTCTTTTGATAAGTATAAAAATTTATCCTTATTCCACTCCATAGATCCCGATTCTAATTTTTATTCCGATGTTTGTGATTGCGATTATTATACGGAATGTGCCTTCAACGAAATTATTCAAAAAAATTTAGCTTTTTCTGCGGAAAACTTATCCTTGATTCATCTAAATATTCGAAGTTTGGTACGCAATTTTAATAGTTTAACTAACTTGCTTGTGTCGATTAATCACAAATTCTCTGTTATTGGTATTTCTGAAACTTGGTTACAAGATTCATTGCACAATGTCGATATTGTTGGGTACAACTTCGTACATGACTACTGTTCTGATAGATCAGGTGGGGGTATTGGCTTATATTTAAGCTTAGGCCTGGAGTATATATCTCGTAATGATTTATGCTTTCCTCAAACTTCAAATGTTGAAAGTTTGTTTGTTGAATTAATAACTAATTCGAGAAGCAAAAACATTATTATAGGCATTGTTTATCGGCCACCAAGTCAAAATGTTAATGACTTCATTAGTAGTTTAAATTCTCTCATGGGAATAATCTCCAAGGAAAACAAACTTTGTTATTTAATGGGCGACTTTAACCTAAATCTATTAAATCACCACACTCATCAACTCACTGCTGAATTTTTAGATATTATGTTTGGTCACATGTTTTTCCCATTGATAACGCTCCCTACAAGAATAACTGCTCATACTGCAACAGTCATTGATAACATATTTACTAATAACTCAGATATTCATTCATTAAATGGCCTATTGCTATCAGATATATCTGATCATTTACCTATTTTTGCGTTAGCAAAAACCAAGTACCAGATTTGGATCATGACAAATACTTAGTATTCCGGGATAAAAATTCAAATAATGTGGCCAAATTTCGAGATTGTCTAAATAACATTAATTGGTATAACTTAGATGGATTTTATGATCCATTACTAGCGTATGATAGTTTTTTTAATAAATATCGTGAAACCTATAATAATTGTTTTCCATTGAAAAGAGTAAGAAAAAGAAAATATGCTTTAACAAAACCGTGGTTGTCCAAGGGTCTCCTTAAATCAATAAGACGGAAGAATAGACTGTATAAACGATACTTAAATTCCCCTAGTTCTGAAAATGAATTGTCGTATAAAACATACAGAAACAAATTGAATCATTCTTTAAGATTAGCTAAACGGATTTATTACGATAAACAATTTGATTATTTCAAAAGTAATATTAAAAGATCTTGGAAATTAATAAATGAAGTTATTAATAAGAATAAAGGTCTTAGAAAACTTCCAGCAATTTTTAATTTAAATGATACAGACATATCAGATCCAGTCGAAATTGCTAATCATTTTTGTGATTATTTCAATAATATTGGTTATAACTTAGCCAAGAAAATTCCCGATGCTAATATTTCACATCGAACTCATTTATCTGGTACTTATTCCAGTTCAATATCACTAAATTTAGCTACCCAGCTGGAAGTATCGGATATAATTAATTCACTACGATCCGGGACTGCTGCTGGTTATGATAATATTCCGATATCTGCCTTGAAGGATTCTGTTGACTTAATCTCAGGACCGCTTGCTCATATAATTAATTTATCTATTTCTTCGGGTTATTTTCCTGATAATATGAAAATCGCTCGTGTTATTCCCCTATTTAAATCCGGTGATCGTAGGATTTTCCAAAACTATAGACCCATATCGATTTTACCAATATTTTCAAAAATATTTGAAAGAGTTGTTTACAAGCGGGTTATGGAATACATAAATATATCGGATATTCTTTTTCACAACCAATATGGCTTTAGGAAAAATCATTCAACTTCTCTTGCTTTAACTTACTTATGTGATAAAATAACATCAGCCATAGATAGAAAGCAGTTTACAGTTGGAATATTTCTTGATCTTTCTAAAGCTTTTGACACGGTAAATCACAGTATATTGCTTGATAAACTTTATCACTATGGTATCAGGGGAGTAGCTTTCAATTGGATGAAGAGTTACCTTAGCAACCGTGTACAATTTGTTCAATATAATGAAACCTTTTCTTCAAAGTCGATTATCCAGTGCGGAGTGCCTCAAGGTTCTATTCTTGGGCCACTCTTATTTCTCCTCTATATTAATGACTTAAGTAATGTTTCCAATATCCTTGAATTGATTTTGTTCGCCGATGATACCAATATATTTTTTTCTCACCAAAAATTTTCATCTCTTGTAAATACTGTTAATTATGAAATTGACAAAATATCTGAATGGTTTAAAGCCAATAAGTTGTCGTTAAATTTAAAGAAATCTAACTACGTGATATTTAAATCGAGACAAAAAAGAATTGATATTGATTTATCTTTGAAAATAAATGATCATCAAATCACTAGGGCAAAAGAGGTTGTTTTCCTTGGAGTTATTCTAGATGAACATATTTCCTGGAAACCTCATATTTCTTACGTTGCCAGGAAAATATCAAAATCTGTAGGTATTATATACAAAGCGAGTTTTTTCCTGTCCAAATCTACTTTACGTAAGTTATATTTTTCTCTAATTTACCCTTACTTACAGTATTGTATAACTGTATGGGGTTCTACGTACCCCACTAATCTTAATCGTATTATTCTACTTCAAAAGCGTATTATTAGGATACTCGATAAACAACCATTTGATGCACATACTGATCCGCTTTTTATTAAGTTAAAAATTCTTAAGTTCGATTGGATTTATTTGCATCATCTTGGAAAATTCATGTATCAATATCACAACGGCTTACTACCTAGAAGTTTTGACAATTTCTTCCTACCTGTGAACCAAGTTCATAATTATTTCACACGGTCGACTAATCTGTACCAATTATCGTTCTGTAGGACTAATATTAGAAAATTTTCTGTCGCTTATCAAGCTCCTAAATTTTTTAATTCATTAAGTGATGACATACGAAGTGCACCTAGTATTACGTCATTCTTTTCTAAATTAAACAGTTTTCTATTTACATTGTGATATTGACGTTTGTGAGTGTTTTTATTTTTTGTGATTGGTTACTTTCTTTTTTTTCTTGTATTTCTTTCTTGTATTTAATTCTGTGTTTGGATTTATATTCTGTGTGACTGACCACTGATCTATCAGCTTTAATTGTGTGAAAAAGGAGCCCAATATAAAATAAGCCTCTTGGTTTCATTTTGGGCTACCTTGCCTTTATTTCTTTATATTGTTATATAAATATTTTTTGTTTGTGTGCGTGTGTGTTAATCGTAATTATTATGTATATTAATTTGGCAAAATAAATTTGATTTGATTGATTGATTTGATAGCGTGGCTAGTCGAATTTTCGTATCTCGCTTTTCTAGGCCAGTGGCGACTTCGTAATCTTCCCACTGCTGTTTGAAAAACTCCCAGTTGGCTACTTTATCTCCCTGGCAAACCATCGGGGAAGGTACCGGGAAAGTAGATGTAAAATTTAACGTTGTAGCTTGAGCAACGGCTTGCTGTTCACCGCTTGTATCTGGCATGTTTATGTTGCTTATTTCACGTCTTTGGTCGTGATCGTACACGGATTTCGCTTCGAACCGGTTCTATTCTCTAGTTACTGCTGTTGTGGGCTGATTTTAATCGACTTTCACACCTGACACCATGTTTGTAATCGGTATTTTTAATGTCTCATATATACATCAACCTTTCTCTACTAGGTCTAACCAAAAAGTGTCTCATAAAAGTTACAACAACAATATGTAAATCCGTGTCCTCGTTCAGCCAAGTGTGTCTGATCGTGTGACCTAACATATTTGCATATCGGAAGTAATAACCTGGAAGTTCATATCGTAACAAAGGTTATGCAAGTAGATACAAGCAAATATAGAAACCAAAGTCGAGAAATTCGACATGAAAATGTATAGGGTCCATGCTCAACTTTACTGTTTTTAGCGATAGCTATTGAAAATTTGTCCATCATCAATGTCATCATCCCTCATCTACATGCATGTATGATTACATAATTGATTGCGGTTTAATAAGATTTAGAAGCAGTTTTTATTTTTAGACTACATGATATTATATTCTTCGATGTTAACACGTTCTTTGAAAATATCGCTATCCATTGTCCGCTTCCAAATCATGACTACTTTGGGCAAGTATCAGAAAAAAGGCGGGAACGGGAAATTGGGATGAGGCATGGCGGGATAACGGGATTTTATATGAAAATTGGTCGGGATAGCGAGATTTCGGAACCCAGTACAGGCCCCTCTCTATAGTTGATGTCGCTCAACTCGCTCCGATGCGAATCCGGTATCGCGTAACTGGGGTGTTCGTGTTTATATGTCTTCCTGTTTAAACGTCTGTCGGGTATATTAAGCCGTTGTTGGCAGGCACCGTGTGTGTCGATCAAGGATTTGTACAGTAGCTCGCTCGAAGAAATGCACAAATTAATAACCAGTTGATTCCCAGCGCGATGAAACACTTATCCACATATTCACTGCTCTTCTGATGTGCTCTTAGTTTATATTAAGATTTGTTTAGCAAATTCGATTGGTGGAATCGTTTACGAATATTGTTCAAAATTTTGGATCAGATTTGAATTAAAGCCAAACAATTGTTGTAACCTAACATTTGTATACAGTTAACATATTGTATAGTTGCATTCGATTTATATGAAACCAAGTGGGAGGTGGTCAATTTTAACGACCTATCACTGGCATGCTCTTCTTTACCTATCTTTCGCCTGATTTCTAATAATTTGTTTCCAAATCGTTCCTACACCAAAAATATTTGAAATTCAATTAAGTATATTTCATACATACTACACTGTCTTTCGTAAATATTAGCAAAGTTTGATAAATACGAAAAACGGAATTTCTTATTTCGACAGTGAAAGTGTTTCCTAGATTTACGCGTCGATCGCCGATTAAGCTAGATTGAAAAACTCTACTCATGCCTAACTCGACTTATTTTAGTTATTTATAGAATATCATTGATTTACTATGTTATATTATTATATAGTAGTACTTCATCGAAACGACGAGAATTAGGAATGGCATATTCTACGTGTGACACAAATGCTCTTCGAGATGCCATATTGCGAATGTGGACACCAGCAGTTGGCGCAAAGTCATTATATGAAGTAACTGTACGTAATCAACAAAAAATCAATGCTTCATTCGGGCATGGTAATTTTTATGGTCGACTAATGGCGTCACGCAACATTCCAATGCGCCCATTCTTCCCAAACGTGCAGGATTATTCCGACAACCAACCACCGTTCGAGATTGCAGAAGAGATACTCTCAGGCAGTTGGAGTGAAGGGTTGTTCTTGTACGGTCACTCAAAAATAAAAATTCCCGATGTGGATTATATGTTGGTTCTAAAAAATATTTCATTTTCCAAAGAAGATCAACTTTCCGGTAACTTGACATTAAAGGAAGACACGCCATTTGTTTACGCTTACATAACAGATGAAGACTCCGTGAAAATGTGGAATGAGTTTTTGGCAGACCGAAAGGATGTAGCAGGAAAGCGATTATCTTCGAGGAAACTAAAACAAAAGCTACACCAGAACTACCAGAAATTGCCTTTAATTTCGCAGAGTGATAATTCTAATGATGTTGACGATGGGGCGGCCATGTATATCAATAGAGTTGACTATGCCACGCCTTCATTAAAGGCGGCTAGCAAAGTGCTTACCAACCAATTCGGGCGAAATTTTGGTAATATAATAGATTTTGCAAGAGAACTTCAGAATGAGATCTTCACAGGTTCGGATATTGTGCTAGCCATATCGTGCGAAGGTTGGCCGTGTTGTGCAATAGAATGGATAAATCGGGATCGGATATGGCCACATCGTCATGTGGTGCAGAAAATTACGGAAGATGGTTTCCACATTGTTCCCAAGAGGTTGACAGAAGGAGATTTCCGCTTGTCGTTCTCGTGCGCTGAAACTAAACTGATTGAAAATCTGACTGAGCTACAGCATAAAGTACTTCGCTCTTTCAAAGCTGCAGTTAAATACTATCAGGACACTTGGAGTCCAAATATCAAGGAAATTATCACAACATATCATCTAAAAACAATCGCATTTTGGCATTTTGAAAAAATTACACAAGGCTCCATCACTAAGGAGACAGTGGTCACGCATCTCATTTTATTGCTTCAAGAGCTGGCACACGCTTTGAGAATACGAGAACTTCCCATGTATTTTATGCCCAAGGTGAACCTGTTTGAAAATGTTGAAAATTCTGAGGAGACGATTAAAATAGCGGAAAAGATCGACCAATTAGCCGTGGAATGTCCTTTTCTAATAATAGCTTTAGAGAACATCACGTGCTGTTTTAGACAACCTCTTGGGCTTGCAAGTTTCAAAATGGGAGAATTTACTGACTTTTCGTCTAGGCTACAAAAGACAGGAAAATCAAGTGGAGTACAAAATCCTTCAGAAGGAATGATGTAAGAATTATTTACGTGTTTAGATAGCATGAAGGGATTGCGTGCATGTCTGAACCCAATGACCTACATGAAATCTACACCACAAAATGAGCGAACAGTTCCAGAACAAACCGACGGAACTCCCATGTCTACCAATAATTCGACAATTCTACAACAATTTTATTTGGATACAGGAGAATTGATTGACTTAGATTAACCAACCTGTACCGACGAAGCGGGCGAGTTGTTTGTTTTATCATGCCTTGGAATTGGAGAAACAACAGTCGTTTTTGATATAAATTTTCGTTTTCCCTTCATGAATTGATTGGTCAACTGCAAATGAAAATAGATGTGATACAGTATATCACACGTCATTCTCAATGGAAAAGATGCGTTGCTTATGGAAATGAACGGAACTATCAATTTCTAAAATGTGTAAAAGGGTGTGTTATTTTGAATTCTATCAGTTTTATTTTAATGTAAAATTTAACATAAAAAGTTGTAATGTTCATTAAAATTAATTGCTTTTTAAATTTTGCCTCATAAAATTCTTCAAGTTATTACCAGTACTTTGAAATGAATTAAATTTAAATTATACAGGCGATAAACGAAAATGAGCTTCAAAAAAACTTTAAAGAAGTAAGAAGCTTTCTGATACAAACTGTGCATGTTGTAGCTATAGGCAAAATTTGAACAACAAAATCATACATAAACAGTCAAAACAAAATTACCCTATGCTTTAGGATTTTCCATACTAAATCGGTTTTTATTGTACATTAAAGTGCCTATGACACGAAATTTAAGCCCAAAGGTTTATGGTTGCATTGTAAAGATCACGTAAAATGACTTAATAATTTCTTTTATAGAATTTTGGTAACTTGCTCCCTTTTCAAGATATTCAACTTTGTTTCATATGCAAATATCACCGGTGTGACATCACATCACATAATGAGTTTTCAGAAAAGTATTGTTTTCTTGACGAATACGTATCTAAAAAACTTAAATATTGCCCTTGTATAATGTATTAATGTCATAACTGGTAATTAACCCTTTGTATTTGTTTGTAAAAATATTTTTTATCGAGGTAAAATATTGCGTTTTCAAAATGTCATTATGCGATGTGATGTCACACCGGTGATTTCTGCATATGAAACAAAGTTGAATATCTTGCAAAGGAGGCATGATGTTACCAAAATTCTATAAAAGAAATTATTAAGTCATTTTAAATGATCTTTACAATGCAATCATAAACATATGGGGTGAAATTTCGTGTCATAGGCACTTATTACAATATGTTGCGTGAAACGACTTTCCAAGCTTTCTTACATGTTTTTAGTTATTTGCTTCCTTCACTCCTGGCAATGAGCCATGATTTTGTGATGAGTAAGATACCATCTATATGGCACCCATGCGGTCGTGATTGTTATTAGTTAGCCGAGTTATTCTGCTCGGCTGTTAGCCGAGCAAATACCAACAAGAATGACATTTTCCGTTTTAAAGCGTTTATTTTCAGGAAGAGTAGTAATCAATTGCTTTGCGCCTACAGAGTACATTGCATGCTTTTAAGCATTTAAGGACGGTTGAAACCAATCTAGATTAACAATTAACGCATAGCATAGAGGGGCAAAACAGAGAATAAAGTTACAGGCTTGAAAGTATCACCATGTACTCTTCCGTCGAACACATCATGCACCTCTTGACCTGCCCAAAGTACTTTTATATATTTTAATTTTGGAATAGGTAATAGGACTGCCACATGCGTCTTGGGCCTTTGGTTTGTGGTTTACTTATAATCATTATTTATTTGAATGATTTCTTATATTTTCAACGGGCTCTTCAAAGTAGACCATGCCGTTAAACACCGCATATTATGTGCACGCGTATAATCTGTGCGCTGTTTTGTGCCTATTTATGTCAATCCATTGTAGAAATATCGTAATTGAAGCTAGTATGTACTGCATGTAAAGTTATTACTTGGTAATTGATAGGTGTGATTTGATGATGCACATTTATCATGCCGCGATATTGCAAATTAGGAATTGGTAATAAGATCTGCACAGTCGCTTGTGATTTTGTGGTGTGTAATTTTCCTGTATCTCATTTAGTAAATGGTTTTCTTATATCTTCGCAGGGTCTGGAAAGTAGACCATGCAGTGAGATATTGTAAACTGGGTCCTTGTTGTTAACTATGTATTTCGTATATCCGTCCATCCTCTTGTTGTGGTTGAGGCTATGTGAGGATTCTATTACCTATCCTAAAATTAAAATAACACGAACTCTAAGCCTTTCTGTTAGGCTTGCATAACCATAAGCTTTATGTGGGTAAAGTTTGAATTCTTTGAGCTTGAAATTCGAGCTACAAAGTTGATTCAAGCTTGCAAGTTGATTTGGGTTGGAAATTTGAATTTGAAGTGCATGGAAATTTGATATTTGAGTTGGAAATTTTTTTTTAAATTCGCTTCGTGTTGGAAATGTGATTTGGGTTGGAAATGGAATTTGAGCTGGAAATCGGGATGATTGCAGCAATCGACTGATTTCTTATCTAGACAAGAAAGACGAAATCTATCATTATAATTCAAAAGAGCATCCTAAAATTAGTAAAAGTGCAAATTTTGGTTGCAAAATGTTGTAAAATACGAAAAATACAGCCCTGTGAAATTAACACATTTTCAGTATTTTAGTATTACGAACGGAAAAACGCACCATTTTCGGGTGGTACATATTTGGTTTAGTATTATGAGTTTACAAATTACATTTGAGATTTCGTTTAACAAATTGCTGGGAAATGGGATAGAGCTCTCCTCCCCTTCCCACCCTCAAACTACGAAATAATAGATGATACTAAATGTATGCTTGAAATTAGCTGTTTTCTCAACATGAAAGCTTCTGAAGGACATGATATGTGAAATGGCAAATTGTTTACCATTCATTACCTATATAATTATTATTGGCTCACATATATTCGCTGGCGGAATATATGTTCTTCAAAATCTGTTCTTCTATAGTTCTTCAAAAAATTACAAAATGTTTCATCGATACTTGTCCACCGTAGTTTCGTTTCAGAATATCCTGAACACTGTTCAGCACCCGGTTAAATAATGGCCGCCATGCTTCTCTTTCAGCCACCAATCTAAAACGGAAAAATGTTTTTATTACCCAGGGGCGTCGCTGAATCATTAGCTTGGTCTATATTAGCCCATGTACACGCGCACATTTACTAAACTTCAATTAATATTGCATTTTCGCGAATTACGCAAAAATCACCACTTTCACAATAAAATCTGTCAGGTCTGTCGAGTATAGAGAACTCTTTTTAACTGCACAGAGTTCTAGAGGAGTCCGGGGTTATGATCGATCGCCGGGAAAAAATTGAAATTTACATTCTTTGAAATGCTATTTTCTCCTTCTGGGAAAGATTTCAAATGACCCGGTCAACGATTGAATCTGATCCTAACCATCCACAACAAATGTTTCCATGATCGCTGTCGCAAACCAACTTGTATATATGTACTTAATAGGCTGTTCTGAATTTCAAACAGCAACCACTCGATAGAACACATATATCTATCTACAGTATTCGACTAAAGTATTAAGTTTTATATTTAAATTCGCGTTTGCTTTTAATTCAGATAATTCAATTCGATAATCCTAAAGCTAGCTATTAGCCTATTACCACAGCCAAGGAGGTTATGTATATGTATGTATTAGCCTGCGAGGAGCCTCTGGTAAGGGGAAGGAAGCGCCTGCAGTCGCTTCTAATAAATTTTCGTGCCGCCCCTTATAATAAATTCAAATTCGCTCTATACAGGGTGTATCAAAAAAAGCGCAATCCTCGACTGAAATGTAAATTGCTAAACAAATAATAGACGAAAACGTTAAAGTTTACATTCATTTTAAAGCGTAGCCATTCAGCTTTCTAACAGTGGGTTGTTTCTTAAATTTGACTCATTGGTTCGCGGGTAATAATACTTTACGTTATTGCGATTGGAGATTAAAAAAATTGAGATGGAATAACAAATCGTTCTCATGAAAATAACTGATTTTTTCATTAAAACAAAAAAATGTTGCATTTTATTAAATGGATTGTAACAATAAGTATAATTACGGCTTTTCTTCCACTATTTTTAACTCAGTTTGAAACTTCAAATGCGATATAATTTTGGCTTGGACCATCTAAGCTGACTGACATCAACTTGCTATAATTTCTGTTTACATTACATCGCAATTCGATGACACTCTGGCTCAGACACCAGAATGTTTTGACGATTTTTAGCATTCGTTTAGGATTTTCAAACAACCTGGTCTCTTTTAAAATACTTTTAATTTTTTCTTACGTGGTTTTCCAGATGTAGTGACGACGACATTAAAGTTTAAAGAAGAAATTTCTAACATTTAAACCGACTAAACAATAGCATAGTAAACTTGCATAATTAAACAGCAACTAAAAATGATAGGTTTTACTAAATCTTTTCCTGTGCAATTATTACTAGCATTGGAGATAAGGATAATAGTTTGTTTGAAAGAGAAAAGAACAGGCTTTGAATTAAGCCTAAAAGCGTTTAACTAGAAATAGTATTTCGAAAGTTATTAAGCACAAAAGATGAATTGCGTTTATTTTGATACACCCTGTAGATTGATCAATCATAACAGAGCAGAATTTTGTTGTTTACCTCTTGCGAAATGTCAATCACGCACGTGGCTTGCGATATTTAGTACTTCAAGGCGACTCGTAGACTACGGAAATAGCAATGAATAAAAATTTATACTAATCGAAAACAATAAACATGACGAAAATAGCATGTACGTTGAAGTGTCTCAGCAACCGGGATCGCTGCAGTCGCAAAACGCAAGCGAAGAGCTCCCAACAAGTGTAGTAAGTGAAAGCCCCCAAGAAAACAACTCTAAACCAGGGGTTTCAGAATAAGCCGGAAGAGTTCCGCCGGCTACTTGAACTTTTACTGCCGGCTACTTAGTTGCGTCCGGTCACACGAAAATTTTTATATACAAAGGTACAAGCGAACCAACACGATGTTTGTTATGTTCTAATTGGAATTCAAGTTGGCCTCGAATTTCCCAGAAATCAATCGACGGCAATGGCGTTAAAAATTGCCGTAGAACGTAACAGCTGTCTACGGCAATTTTGTCAGTTTCCACGGCATTTTTTTCAAATTATTGTAATAACAATTTAATTTTATTGTTACTTTGGATTGCTGACAAGCTAGAAACATCAGTTTACGTATTTCTTTAGTGTTTTTTTTTTCGAAGAAAACTGATACTAAAATAGTAATTCACGGATGATTTGATCAACATCTGAATTCAAGTATCAAAATAGTAAAGCACAGTGAACAGTTTAAAAATTATACTATACGGCAAAAATTGCCGTCGTTGCCGCAATGACAATGATCCACTGCAATTTGTTCTCCCTCTACGGCAATTGCCGCGATAAAATTCAAGCCCTGAATTCATGCAAGACATCACTTACTTTGGAAGTTAGATCAATAAGGTAAATTAATAATACATATAGTACCAAACATAGCAAAAGAAAGAACAAGTGATGAAGTGAAGTTCATTATACGCACATAAGTAAAACATCATTTGATTAATGATTTCGGACTCACAAATTAATACTATTACTGTAGTGTACAATTGTCATTCTGTTCGTGCAGCTGTAAAAATTAAACTACTAGTAGCACATTAAAGTACATTGTCACTTGGAAGTATAAATGCAAATGACATCTAAATCTAAAATGTTAACAGTTGTACTTTGTCTTTTTACGTATTCTATATTATTTGATTGTTAATTTGCGGTGAAAATTTTTTAAATTTCCATGCGAGGGCTACCCTGGATTCCAGAGCCTTCAGTAAATAATAAATTGAAACGTCGTGAAGGCTCTGCTTCAACGGGAGGGTTCTTTGACCGCGCCAATCACAAAACAGAATTAGTGGTTTTAGTACAGATTCTGTACTAAAACTACTAATTCTGTTTTGTGATTGGCGCGGTTTCATCAAAGAATCCTCCCGTTGAACCAGAGCCTTCGCGACGTTTCAATTTATTGTTTACTGAAGGCTCTGGAATCCAGGGTATGCCAGGGCACGTTCCCCTCCCCGCGCGATTTTTTAGCTATCATGGTCACAGCCGGCTACTTTTTTGGTACAACCGCCTACTTCAAATCAATCTGAAACCCCTGCTCTAAACCCTACCAGGATGAGTCGGTGCTAAGCCTGAGGGGAAAAGATATTGCGGAAACAGTTGTAACAAGTGATATAACTGGGATAATGTGGTTGCTCAAGCAAGTGAAGGATCTAAAGTGAAACTATGTAATTGTGTGTGTAAACAGAGAACTGGCCGCTGAGTTTGAAGATATGAAGTTAGAATCAACAATATTACAAGCGCAAAGCGGCTGTGAGGGCCCTGTTTCGGGTGATCAACTGAAGCCTGCAATTGAATCGCTGCAGGAAAAATATAAAGAAGTTGTAAAAATCATTGAACTTCAAGCTGAAGTCATTAGTGAGCTTAAACAAGAAAATTTGTTATTTAAATCGAGGTTTGAGTCGTTGGAAAGCATTCTATCTACTTTAGATCCCATCTGTCCATTTGTGATAAATAAAAGAGAACATTCTACAAATTTCCAAAGCGTCCGATCCTGTTGTATCGAACAGCAGCCACGACAAGGCAAATAATTGTTCAATGATTGTGCTTACGAATTTAAAAAAACAATCATCACCATGAAAAAATGAAAAAAGAAGTTTAATTGCACAAAAGCTCAAAGCGCTCGCCCCTGACGTATCGAACAATAGCCATGATGAAGAAAATAATTATTCATTCATGCCCCCTAACTATAACTACTGGCGACTTTAATCCAATAGTAACTACTGGGGACTTTAATCCAACGTCAACTGGATTGAAATCGAAAGACTTGACTCAAACAAATCATCTCAAACAACTTCTCACTTTTAACACAAGGGATTCTGGTATCCTGGATTGGTTCCTGACAAATCGGAATAGGTCATTTGAATTGTCTCAGTTGGCTAAAATTGCATCTTCCGATCATTTTACAATACTGGCGAAACCACTTCTAGGATCTAAGAACCAAGTAACTAAAAAAGTTATAGCTCGCGATATGAGGGATAGTGTCTGGCGTGCGTTTGGTCGATGGATAACCTACAAAGATTGGAATCCAGTCCTTACCACTTCCTCCTGTGAAGATAAGTTCCAACTGTACATCACAGAAATAAAGCAAGGTCTCGATTGCTGTATCTTCCACAATGGACAGTAAAAGTTCACCAAACAGATCGCCCATGGATGACAAATAAACTCAAGAAATGGATCAGAAAACGCCAAACCGCATTCCAAAGACATGTTAAAAACTCGTCCATATATAGACACTGGAGGAATAAAATCCAAAGGGAAATCAAAGCGGCCAAGTCACATTATTATACAGATAAGTTGCAGAACGGGGACAGACTAACCCCCGAAATGGTGGAAACAAATAAAGTCTTATAATGGGACAAGACATTCAACAGGAGTGGCATTATCAATTTCTTGGTGACAATGGAAATGTTAAAACACTCGCAGATAAAGTCAATGACTTCTTCTTGAGCATAACTGAGAACTTTCCACCGTTGTCGCCTTTTTGTCCAACTCAGCAGGTCCCAAACGACTTCCTTGTTTCTGAAGCAGAGGTTTATCGATCATTGTCATCTCTGCACGTAGCCAAATACGTTGCACCGGACGAGCTCCCAAATAGAGTGTTAAAGGAATTTGCTACGGAGCTTTCTCCGGTTATACAGGATATTTACAACCAGTCCTTTAAGGAAGCATATATCCCAGATTTATTTAATTCCTCAATTATATCTCCCATACCGAAAGTAACCCCACCACAATCAATTGAAAGCGACCTACGTCCAATATCCCTAACATGCAATTTGGCTAAAATTATGGAGGGATTTTTCTGTAGGAGACTTTTATCACAGCTGACAAGAAAAATTGACCCCCGTCAGTTTGCTCGTAACGGCCACTCCACAGCGAATGCGCTACTATTTTTGCCGCAACTCGTTTATAAGGTCCTCGATAGCGGAAATACTTGCGCTCGTTTCTTTTTTGCTGACTTTAGCAAAGGGTTCGACCGTATTGACCACCATGTTCTCATGCAGGAGCTGATGGAATTGGATAATCATCCTGTCTTATATAATTAGATTAACGCTTTCCTTTCCAATAGAAAACAGGCTGTCAGAATAGGGGGGACTTTGTCAGATTGGAAATCCCCGAATGGTAGTATACCTCAGAGAACTAAACTTGGTGTTATGCTTTTCTCGGTTATGACAAATAAGCTAATATCTGACTAGCATTTAAGGACAAAGCTTGTCGATGACACAGCTGCGCTAGAGATTATTCCCAGGAACTCAATTAGTTATCTGAACAATACGGTAGATGAATTACATCAATTCTCTGTAAATCATAACATGAGTCTCAACCCACTTAAATGCAAGGAGATGGTACTAATTAATTTTAGGAATAATAACAACTCTATAATGAGGCCTTTTGTAAAAGGCAGCAACGTGTAATAGAAAGGGTGACCAATTATAAATTACTTGGAGTTCAACTGAGTGAGGATCTTAAGTGGATATAAACATGTTGATTATATCTACAAAAAAGCTTGTAAGAAGCTATATTCCCTACACGTAGCCTACTTCGTAGAGCTGGCGTTGAGCAAAGGAATATACTAAAAGTGTATCTAACTACTATATCAGACCCGTATTGGAATATGTTGTACTAGTATGGGAAGCGATCCCTGACTACTTAATTAAGTGAAAGGATAAAATCAATAGAGAAGGGCACTTCGAATAATTTTCCCTTCCATAGATAATTATAATGAAGCGCGATGATGAAGGCATAGATATCAACATTGGAGAGCAGACGTGCATGAACTGTTATGTAAAAAATATATGACTCCAATAAAGGAGGATCATCCCCTGCATTTTATGCTCACAAAACCTAAGATGAGCGAATGCAGGTATAGCCTACGAAATGGCCAAGACAAAGTACTGTTTGTTTAAGAACATAATCAAATGCAGAACTTTAAGATCAGAACAATTTTTTACTTTTAAATATTTTTAATGTTTATACATAGTTTTAACAGTTATATGTATTTATTAATTTTTGTAAAAATAGTTTTAGTAATACTTTGGACTCGTTAATTCAGTGTAAATACCGCAAGAGAGTTTCAATAAATACTGTATCAATTATTATTATATGCGATTTCAACATATTGCGAGCTGTACTGTATATATGCTACAAATTGTAAATATTTACAGGGATGGCAAAGATTAGAGAATGCATATTATTTAATCCTAAAGAAGTGTGTCGTTTATGTAATCGTAACTTGAAGGTTGTTTATGGAAGTTGTGTGTCGAAAAAGTCGTTCATAAATATATATAAGCCTCCGTCGACGCAAGAAAGCATTGGTGTTGTTTGGCCCTTATGGCCTGTTTATATGGAAGACAGTTACCCAGCAAGGTGAGGCAGCAAGGTGAGTTACTCAGCAAAGGCGAGATCCCAGCTATTATAGAAACTAATATTAATCCCGGGTTTACATGATGCAGCCGAGTAACACGCCTTGGCAAGTTCCCGGATATCGCTCAGGCGGGATGAATATATTACCATGTAAACATGACTTGGCTGGCCGAGATAGAATGTAGGCCTATTTGCTTTGCATTTGAAATATAACTGCTCAAAAATATAGATACGTATCGATAGATAAGTTTTCCTGAATTCTTGGCGCTTATTCTTGTATCATGACAAAATTTTGTAATGTTTTTTTGACGTTTCAAACGACTAAAATCCCTTCTGTCTTTTGATACCACTTCGGGGTCATGCGGCAATCATGCAGCAAATACAATGCAATACTTACTCGCCTTGCCGGGTAACTCGTCTTCATCTAAACAGGCCCTAAACGATCCTCGAATGCCTCGTCACAGGACTGGTCGTTGCTGACAGCCATTTTGATTAATGACATTACTGTTAATTGACGTGTGATGAGAGCTTTAGCCAATGACGAACGATATACACGAAAATTTATTAGAAGCGACTGCAGGCTCTTCCTTCCCCTAACCAGAACCTGCCTCGCAGGCTAGTGTGTGTCAATAACAAATATCAAACGTATTAATACGAAAATTTGTGGTACTAATGCACCCTTTCGATAATTACGTCACAACTACACTGTTTTCAACTTAGGACCATCTTTAATGGAAAGGATTTCAGGTTTTTTTTCTCATGGGCTAAGCGCAGAGAAGCAGAACATCCTTCTTCAACACATGCATGAAAAACATTTTGGTTTTGATCAATAAATATGGAACTAAGCATTAATACAAAAACGAGGCCCAGGTCATGACCTGGAGCCTTGTTTTCGTGTTAAATCTTATTTCCACATTTATATGTCAAAATAAAGAATTATTTTTCATGCATGTTTTGAAGAAGGAGGTTCTGCTTCTCTGTGCATAGCTCATGAGAAAAAACGTTGAAATCATTCCCATTTAAGGTGGTCCTAAGTTGAAAACAGTGTAGTTGTGACGTAATTATTGAAAGGGTGTATTGTCATTGCCCAAGGGTAAATTGATTAACGCGAGAAATTAGCAAAAGTTTATCTTTGCTTTACCAGGCAGAGTAAATTGAATGCGTAATTAGCCCAGTGTATAATTTATGCATGATATGTACATACAAGTAACTTAATTCGTTGCCAGAGGTGTGTAGTCTCCTCTATAGTTTTGTTTTGTTGTTTTAATTCATTAGACCCTCAACTACCAGTTTTGTCAACATTCCCTAATTTTCAGTTCAGACATCATTTTAAAATTCTCGACTTTTCTATACAGGCAGCAGCCGTGTGAGAGACATATGTCTACACTTGGACCGAACGTTCGACTTTACTCTACGCATCCCGTGGTAACATTACCTGCGATAACACTTCAAAACTAGCCACATCTTCTCCAGATCTTTGTGAATGATAAGATTGCTCAAATATTCCTCCAATACACAGACATCCTCATCTAACGGAACTATCGCATGTTAAAAGACGCTATCAGTAACTGGGAGGTAAATCTATCGACTATCGTAGACATGTAGGTGAATACAATGGCAGGGTAAGGTTAAATGACAAATAAGGTTGTCTTAATGCCGAGACGCACAGGACTTTGATAACATTTCCCCCCAACTAAATCCAGTTTTTTCTAACGGACGGTATCGCTAACCAAGTTATCAGTTCATAAAACGATAGTGTTATCCTGTAAATCAAGGTCAAATTACGAACTCTCGACACACCCTTGCCAAGATGCCGGAAATTGAAGGAGCTATTGGACATCGGTTTCAGTCGCTTTCTATTGTTTTTGTCGGCGAGAATATAATACTCGAGTAGCGACATTGATGAATATTCCCCATAATTCTTTTCCTTTGGTCTTTTGTCTTTTATCTTTTCGATCTACAATGGAAGGTGAAAGCATTTCGAGCGCGCACACTTGGAGGAAATTTTCATTCGTGACTGAAATAATTCACCATGATGAATATTCGGTGCTGATGGCACGCGTGGCTGAAATCGCTCAAAATGCCACCGCACAATGGGGGAACTTGCTTACGCAAACAGTTACGGTGACGCTCAGCTCAGCTGATAGCTCCAGTGTGCGCCGAGCTTAATTAATATATGTCGGTATCTATGTTTTTGTTTTGATTTATGCACAAAAGTGGTCGGTTCATCGTCACGTGTGTATTGTTTCTAAGCCCAACCAATCAATAGCAGTGTGTTTGTACTCAGTCGTTACTGTATATTACACAATGGTTAAATGAAAACATACTGTAGCTATTGGTTGCTCTGGCCAAAATACAATACACACGTGGCGATGAACCGACCATTTCTTGCAAAAAAAACAAGACATAGATAATGAGGCGATTTACGTCTGTTATGTCTGCTGAGTTTCCTAACCTTCTTATTCTATCGACTATGCTTCAAGGCCATTTTCCAATTCTACGGTATCACTATCTTACCGTAGCGTTTTCCTTTGCTTCCTGAGCACTAGAGAAACTGCTACGCTACGTTACGATACGGTTGAAGTGGAAAACGGCCTTAATAAATGAAGGCCCAATAGACAGTTAAATACTTTATGTGCATATTTTAGCGCATGTTTACATTGTGTCGGATAGCTTGCGTAACGACGCAAAAACAATGCTGCATGGATATGGCCTTGTGCTTAAATATGAAATGATGTAATCGTATCAACTATTGCAACGCTGTCATTATAATGTAAACAAAAAATCGTAGTAATTTTGGGTTCAATTCGTCATTCAAGATGGCGTCTAGCAAACAAACACTTGCTCTTCTAACCCTATTTACAGGTATATACAGTAGCTTGCTCACTCTTTCGTCTCCAATATTTTTGTTTTTGGTAAATATTTACAAGAAAAGACGAAGGCAAAGTTGGGCGGAAGCTGTTTACACCTGGGTCGTAACGTTTCGCGAACAAAGTAAAAACCGATCCGATACAATGCAAACATATATAGCTCTATTCTTCCAGTCTCTTCTACCTATTATATAAATTAACTACACACGTATAAAAACGCACAAGTTGTGTTCCCACTGCTTGTTCCTAGTTGTTCTAATCATTTTGGGGCAAGCTGTTAATAACTTGTTGAATATTTGGGACAAGCAATGCGAACACAACTTGTTGACAGACTTGCTATAAGATGTGAGATTTTTGTGCGTACAGTATCTGGAGCGAGAACTCAAGGCCAAAAAGTGAAGCAAAAGATGAAGCAATTGGACAGTGAGTTTCAGCCCCTTTCTATTGCTTTTGTCTGCGCGGTGTGCAAGGAGTGTGCCGAAATTTCGTATTTTGACCTCGATTTAAACAATAATACTTGCGTTCGTAGTTAGATATACAGCTCACTGGATTCAACTGCAATTCTATTCCGACGCAGAAAGATGGATTTGGATTCACAGTAGACACTACGAGTTAACTTATACTATCTGCACTGCATCCAGAAGAAAACGCAGCCTACCTTGTGTGTCATTAGTCCACAGTTTTAACATTTTTCGGACATCTGACAGTGATTTAGCACCAGCAAGGGTAACCTGGAAGTAAATATTCCGAAATAAAAACTATTAAAACCAGCCCTATATAATGGTAGGTATAGGGTTAGCCCTTCATGTATAGAACTTGTGTAAACATGATGTTTGTGGTGTTACTCGGAGTGTGCATCCACACCGGGCAAGCTGAAAAGTTTGCCTGACCACGGTGGAAATCGAATCCGCGACCTTTGGGACCAACACACACAAAAATGTCATATGTTTTACATATTCACATTCAAGGAAAATAGCAATAAAAATTAAGTTTCTCCCATTTGGAAAAAAGATTCAGTATATTTCATAACCTTTTCACAGATTTTCTTTATCGTTCTCGGTATAAAAGATATTACACTTCATTTCAACAATGAAATGATGCGTTCCGCTATCTTGGATATGCGGATATGCGTGATGTCACAACCACGGTAACACTATTTTGTATCTTGATCAATTCTCAGGGCATTTTAAATTAATGCTAAATCCAATTTTAAACTGAATGTACAAGCTATGTATAAGCTTTCCACTGATATTATTTTTTAGTTGTCTACCCTATTTGTGACGCATTTAATTAGATGTAATTATAAAACAAGATGGCGGATGGCAGGATGTTTTGGTTTCAAATATCTAAAAAATTAGCACAGTTCGGAAAAATTGGTAAAAAGGATTTCTATATTGTTGCCATTTTTCTTTAATAAAGCATATACAATTGTGAGCCATTACGATGTACTCTCTATAGAATTTAGAAAGTTTGCGCTGCCGTGACCTAGTAAAGTTAAACAGTCCCTATCACATTTTTAACAGTACAGTACCATAGATATCTTATATACACTAGATAGTACATCTAATTATTCTGCAATTCAAAAGTTGAAGCCGTGATTGCAGTCTCAGGTCGTTCCCATGAAATGAGAAGATTCGTATATTTCCTGTTTCTTAAACACGGAACTTAAACATGAAGTTAACCCTATTCCAAATACGTTTTTAAACTATTCAAATGATGAAAGTTATTGTTGTTTTTAAGCGTTTATTAGCAAGTGGGAACGACCAACATGGCCGCCATCTATTCAAATGGGGGTAACTGCTGGAATATTCTTGGCGTCAATTTTACTAAAAGAGATGCGCTATCTAGTGTATATAAGATATCTATGTACAGTACCTACCAACAATGCCTATAAGCTAGATCAGTAATGATCGGTGCAAATTGTTGAGCCTTTTATCTCATTATCGCCTTGTATTACGTTGACAGACCGATTAAATGATTGTTGTCTGAATAGAAATATGTTCTGAAATTTTGAGGTTTGCTGATTCACGTCTCAACTAAATACAGGTTGAGTTAACTGGGTAAATTTGACCAAGGGGAAACGAAATTTTCGAGTTAAGCGAGTTCGAGAATATTAATGTACTTACTTTGGGCGCTGACAATGACGCCATATCTGTTTCAATTTCTTTTCTAGGCTCGGTATGTTTAGATACACAAGCATTCGTGTTTAGATTCAATTGTTTGTTCTTTTCTTTTTCGTCATGTCGTTTTTGCTGTTCATAGGCTAGCTGAACTTCGTGTCTCATAGATTCTGGCAAAGCATCAAGAACGCTGGTGTCTAGCTCAAGGATATCGTCATCCTTATTTGACTAAATAAGCAATAAAAAAGATTAGTAATTAGAACTAGAGGTACTCAGAGACTGAATAATTAACTCCGTCAGCAAATAGGGCTACAGGGACAACTTCGACGTTTCGAGCGAAGGCCCTTCGTCAAGAAGTTAGTCTCGAATGGCACAGACCGTTGGCGATTGTATCACTGCCACTGCATGGAATACTAACTTTCAGACGAATTAGGGCCTGCGCTCGAAACGTAAAAGTTCTCCTTGTATCACTACCAATCAGGTGCAGCATTCTTGTCACTACCACCAGTGGTAACTACCTATACTGGCACAGGCCCTTCGAGATTACGCTTAAGTTAGCATTTTTAAATTTCACACAACGACAACAATCTAATTATAGTTGCGATCACTATAAAATATATCAATAACAATAGTATAATCGAATTAGCCTTTCTCACGCCGCCATTTCTGGGTGGCATTTCAGCCGAAGTCTAAGAGATAAGTCCACATAACAGCGACTTTTTATAATTTTTTGGACGAATGTTAGTAAATTTGCTTTGTAAATGGTTACTTTATTTTGAAAAATTGCTTTTCACATTGTTTTAATTGTCTGCATTGGTTAACGAGAATTAGATGCCACCCAAAAATGGCGGATATTAGTCACCTAAGCAATGACCTGTCTACACGGAAAGCATGCATCCTCCTCGATTACAAAAGATTGAAAAGAGTGGTATATTTTAGTCAGATATTCGGTTTATTCGAAGAAATATTTATGCACACAACTTTTAGATTTTTTTATTTCTCCCGCCAACAGACGAACACTTCAACATGCAAAAGCATCATTGCGTAAAATTCGCGTTCTTATCAGGGAATGTTATACAAAATAAAACATACTGTAACTGAAAACCCTGAAAACATCTTGTAAAAAGTACCATGCACCCCAGAATTAAACTGTATCTGAAACAAAAACGTATAGGACTAATTTCAGATGCGTGAAAACGTCACTTTTGCCGTAACAACGGAGCGAGATAAAAACGGAGCGCTTGGCGGCTTCGTGTGACCACAAACGCGGTTACTTTTTTGTATCGCCTGCAAGCCAAGCATCTCAGTTCTCTAAACAATAACTTCCAATGCTTTTCGTTTAAATCTCTTTGCTCTATTTGAAATATTTTGGGCTTACATGAGTGCTAATTTGATTTGAAAACAAACTGTAACGGCGTGTTGTGAACACACGTAAATTCCGCCCGCATTATTTCGCTCCGGTGTGGTGTGACGTAGTCTTAATCGATTGCTATGAAAGTTGAATTCAGGAAGGGAATGTAGGGGTGTCGGTCCTCTAGAAAGCTTCAACAATTATTGATAATTGCGTACGAGCATAAATTCTGCAGTTGACAATTAGTCCAACTGTAAATAGAAGCCAACCAACGTTCGAAGCAGCTCGTTTCAGCAATCCTGTAAACACTCAACTGTATTTACTGAAGATAAACCATGGATGCAACGAACGTGCGAAACAATCACAAAAGACAATTCAAGGCAATTTTCTATTACATGAAGTCGCTTTGCCCGAGCGGGCGGAGCGAACATTACTCAACTTTCTCTGTAGTTGCCTATCCTCTGCATCGTTTGTCCGCCTGAATGTCCGCGGACACGCCATGAAAGTAGAACTACATTCAACTTTCTTGGCGTGCCCGGGCGACTGATTTTTCACGTGATTAAAATTGTTCGCTCCGCCCGCGCGGGCAAAGCGACCGCAATTGAAAATCGCGTTAACGAAAAATAATGGCTAATCTTCATCAGGAATTCAACGCAATGAACGAAACACCGGTGGAGGTAATTGATTAGTATTGTAGCATTTCCGGCAAAACGAACACCGACCTTTTTGGAAGCAAAACGTTTTATGCTTTTATGCTTCACTTTTGATTTTTTCGTCTTTGTCTCGTTTCGCTCGTGATCTTGTTTTAAATTCTTGGTCGGTACTGCTGGCTGACATCTAATTTCTTCCGAAACACCTGACGCCGCGGAAGAAAACTAGATAAAAAGAAAAAGGAAAGAGCATGCATATTATACAACGTGTAGACCTTCGTCGAATTAAAATAACAGGCAAAAATTGCGGTCAAACAATAATTGCAAATTGACATTTCTACAGTATAGCGCAAATTCGCATGTGGAATTGATCAAGTGCGCTTTACATCAAGTATTACGATTAGCTAATTACTTATTTGGCCTAGACTATTTTATCTTTACAACAATTGTGATATTGCTTTCTTAACAGTGTCAGTTATCCTAACCCACCCTCTCAACTTTCCCTGTGGGAGGAAATCAAAACAGCCGGAGAAAACCCACGACGTTCGACAGATCATTGACTGACTTTTTTCACATAGAGTCTGTAGCGAGGACCGAACCCACGAACTCCTAGGTGAAAGCGCTTACTCTGAAGACTATACGTCACCGAACAAAGGACAATATTGCCATATAGACGACCAGCCAACTTTCTGAAAAGTCTGATGGCATTTTTTATTATAAGTCACCAACTAGCATTTCCTTACAGTTTAAACATTGCTGAACAAGACTATTTAGTATTTTTGCACAAGTGAATGTAACAAATCCTGCAAGTTGATTTTGGTCAAATTTGACGTATTAAGCTGTTATATTCACCAGCAGGTGAATATAACAAAACCGAAATTTTCAAAATGGCGGCTAGCCGTTTTGTGGACGTTACTGAGAAAGAAATAAGCGAAATAAAAGTAAATTCAGTCCCAAAATACACAAAAGACTTGTGTAAAAATACTAAAACAATTATTCGCCACAGGCTCGGTGATTATCTATTAAATATTCACCTCGACTTCGTCTCGGTGAATATTCCCCGATAATCACCTCGCCTTCGGCGAATAATTGTTAAATGTTAATTGGCACCTCTGATTTCGGCTTTATAGTCGAAATTTGAAAATTTTATATTTTTGTTGCCTAATAAAGTACTACTGCATGTATATGTTGATGAAAAATGCAACATTTCAAGTTCACACAAAAATAAACTATACCATTAGAAAGATCGCAAAAAATATGTGTAAGATATATTTACGCGAGCAGTGAGATTTTTTCTAGGCAATTTTGAGTTAAAGGAGCCTAAAGTTGGTAAAATAGTAACTTTATAGCATAAATTAGCATGGTTACTGACATTAAACTGTAAAGTTCTTACTATTATTTCAAGTATTATTCCAAGCCAATATATTATAAACACTTTCACTTTTGAGCCAATTAAAGTTATTTTTCAACCCTATAGATATACTGTCGGTTATTAATTATTTTTAGTATAATTACATAGGTGATTATTGAAAATTCTCCACGCTGATTGGTTGCCGTTGAGGTGATTATTACGCGATAATCACCTAAGCGATTTTCAAAATGGCGGCCGAAGCCTTTTTGTCAATTAAATGACGAAGAAATGTGACGAAGAAATTTTCTTATTTTTTTTCCAAATAATCACCTATGAAATTATACTAAAACAATTATTCACCTCAGGCTCGGTGATTATCGTGAATAAAAACCTCGACTTCGTCTCGGTTTTTATTCGCCGATAATCACCTCGCCTTCGGCGAATAATTGTTACGTAAATAACGGCTGGAGACTAAAAAAATGGACAATCTAAAACCAAGCCGTAAAATGAGTTTGACACATCTATTTGGAGCCCACAAGAACGCAAACGAAATATGTCAATGGAATGTACGGAATGTCAAAATTGCTTTAAGGAAGCTTATATTTATAGAGAAAATAGAGATCATAGAAATGTCAGATGGAGTAAAAATCGCTTTGGAGAAGTCCAAAAAACCAAGACCTTCGATGTAGAAACCACTGTAGAGATACACATTAGGGCCATTTATACGGAATAAAATAAGTCGCGACTTACATAAGACGCGTCTATATCAGCGGAATTATCGTATAAATGGTTCTTTACGGCTCTAGTCTTATTTACTTGCTATAGCTATAATGTTGTTTTGGTTGTTTTTATTTTAATATGCAAGGCTAATAAGTTTACGTTGTTTCAAGTTTAGGGCATATGTAATCAGACATTTTATCCAAAATGATTTATTTAAGACGCGACTTAAATAAGAACAGCTAAAAATCCTGTTCTTATTTAAGTCGCGTCTTATCCAAGACGCGTCTTACATAAGAATTTTGTACCTTTTATACGACAATCTTGCGTCTTATTTAAGTCGCGTCTTATGTAAGTCGCGACTTATTTTGTCTCGTATAAATGGCCCTAATATATTAGTGTGCCGTGCCCACAGTGTTCATACCGATGCCATAAGCCACTATTTCGAGACGCAACGTCAAAGAAAATTCTCACATAATAGTACCAACACCTTATGATGATTGATATCATGATTGAAAATAATATATTATTTTCATTATAATTAAATCATTGTGAGTAGCAATTTCAAGGACATCTCCTGTCAATGACAGTCACCCAAATATATCAAATTCATGCATTGTACCAGGTCCATTGGACTTCTCTAGGCCACTGATAATTATCTGAATCTTCAAAAAAGGCATTTTCTTTATACTAGAGAGTGCACAAATCACACTGTTTTGTCCAATTTGCACATTTTGTCTGTTAATTTGAAGATTCTTTGGGTTAGTTCATTGTAAGCCAAAAATGCTGGTTGCAGAGCAGAGTTGCAGCCTGTTAACAGCAAATGTGTCGTATTATAGTCGATAAAACAAGCTTTCACTTAAACTTTTACAGGCAACGTTTGTCTAGTACACCAACGTCTGTACAGCGGTGTTGAAATTTGTCCACTTTTTTAGTCCCCACCGGTTATAGACAATGTGATCTAATGGTAGAATGTAAATGATGGAAGTATTTCAACCATTTGGTTGCAAACACTACATTTTTAAATAAATCATAAATCTTACCCTTTCTGCAACTTTTACTCCGATTCTGAGGTTCTTCCGTTGGTAAGAAATCTCTATATCTTTCTTAATCTCTTCAGGTAGCTCAGCAAAAACTGCTGGATCAATCTGGGATGGTGAGGGCAAAACAAATGAACCCGTCGCGTCACTTCCTTTGATGCTCTGAAAAGTGGAGTACAAGCTTCTTTGGGAAGATAGTTTTCCTGGGGATTTGGACGGTGATTTTCGTGGAGATTTCCTGGGCGTTCTTTTCTTTTTGTCAAGATTTGGGGAAAATTTCCTGCATTTTAATAGACAAAAGATCAATGACTGAAAAAGATTATTCATTCGGCTGATGAAAAATGAAAAAGAAATTATTCATTCAAGAATGTTACCTATACTATAGTTATGACCTCAGAAATGCAATTATCAGTGCATCCATCTTAATAGTGCGATAGTGTATAAATGTATAGACTATAGAATGATGTAACAAATGTTGTATGGCACATGCATTTTTAGCAAATCTGGAACACGTGCATGATTTTCAAGACTTTCTGAGGGAGCAGGGATTCCCTAATACTGTAGTGCCTCCTAGTATAGTGCCGTTTTTGGTATATGCAGGGACGCCGGAACTGGGGGGAGGCGGCAGGAGGGGCAGCCGCCCCCGTTGCCCTTTACCAGGAGCAGGGCCGCCGAGAGGGGGGGGGGGGCAGGGGGGGCAAATTGCCCCGGGCCCCGAGGCTCTGGGGGCCCCTAGAAATTTAATATTAGAAATTTAATGGGCCCAGTCATTTTTTCGGGCGAAATATTTCTGTTTCCGGGCCAAAATATTTGTGTTTTGCGGGCAATGAACCGAAATTTGGTATGGAAAATTGCGGAAAAGTCCAACGAAAGCAATTATAACGCACCTAAAAAGAATTTATTGTCCGAAAAATTTTTTTCCGGAAAATTTTTGCAATAGGGGCCCCTAAAAAATATTTTGCCCCGGGCCCCCGCCAAGCTCTCGGCGGCCCTGACCAGGAGGGGCAAGGGGGGGGGGGGCAAAGTTGCCCTTTCAATTTAAAGGATTGCCTTGGCGAAAAATAGCGAATTGTCAGAAATGTTAATGCAATTCTTTTACGAATTTGCTTCAGAAAACGCAAGAAATGCAGTTATCAAGCTTCAAGAATAGCGCAATCGCCTGGCGGAGAACCCCCTCACACCCCTATCATCCAATAAATAGAAAACACGATAAGGCAAAATTCAACTCCGGATGTTTTGCAAACATCTCTTAGTATATATCAATTGAAAAGTGCCCTTTAACGAAAATCTGCCCCCCTTGCCATCACATCGTTCCGGCGTCCCTGGGTATATGTATTTACCTTAGGATCCAACCCTTAATTGATGCATGTTATCTATATTAGTTTTAAGTTATATTCCAAAAATCTTATTAGTATTCTCATTGCACTGAAATATTTTTTTCCTGTTAAAACATAGCATGACGACCAGTTTGAAAACTTGTTAGTGTCACACAATTACAGTGTCCGAGTGTCGATTTACTTGATTATTTGCAGAAAATGTCCAATATTAATGTTCAAAATATTTTTTCCACCCGTGAGTGAGGATCGAAAATTTAATCTAAGAAATGAATGTTCACACTAAGATTATTAACATTGATCTAGTAGAAACGTTTAAAGTGAGGAGTCATCAGACCTATTGATACTTTACACAACAGATGCATGATTCCAATGGTCCATTGGGTAAACCATGTAGACATGCATGTTTTTAAACAGCCATAGCATTGGTTTTATCAGACACTCCTAGATTAAATTTTCGATGCACATAAAGAACTGGCTGTGTAAAAATATGGAATCTGTTGAATTTTTTATCCATATTATTCTACGATCATGCATGCAGCTGTCATTGTTTGTATCTAAAGTTACTAAGGGTTCAGGTCTCATTTACTCATTTTAATGGGTAAATATCAGGATTCTGGGTATCTACACTCGATAGAATTAATTGTCGTATACAATTGTATATATTTATATTAGACCTAGCCAGTAGCTGTTGCGCAAAATGGAACTATAGGTTCTTTGGCAGAAATCAAACCTGCGACCCTGCGATTCCGGTGCAGCACTCTAACCAACTGAGCTACAGAGGCGCCTTGTCGAAGGTTCGGGCTTATAATTGCAGGGCTTATAGTTGCATTTTTTACAACTGCTCCTGGTTAGGTCTAATAAGGGACCGGTCATTATTTATGGTGGGGGGTGGTACCGAAGAGAAATGTTTTTCGTGGCAAAAATTTTGCTGACCCAACCATTAAAAAGTCAAAAATTTGATTACCCAACCTCAAATATCAATTTAAAAATAAATACCCATCCCTGGCCAAAAACTTTACAATAGTGTGACGTTCTGTCATATGAGTTTGATAACGGATTGTAAAATTTTCTGCAGTTTAAAGTTTCATGTTGTCTGCACATGTACTTTCTTTGGAGGTACCATTTGTCTCACAACAAATCGGAAAATGATCAATGGATAGTCACTCTGATTGATTCACATACGGTATTGTATTGACATATGACTGACTACTGTTGACATTGCTTTTTAGTCTCCAATATTTCAGTGAATCATGCTTTGGAAATGACAATAATTTTCTATTACCCAACCCCTGAGTTGTTTTGTTTTTCATTTACCCAACCCTTTTCTCTTCGGTGCCACCCCCCGCCATAAATATTGACCGGTCCCTAATATAGCTCAAAAGAGCATCCTAAAATTAGTAAAATTGCAAAGTGTGGTAGTGCGAAATGTTGTAAAATACGGAAAATATAGCCATGTGAAATTAGCGAATTTTCAGTATTTTAGTATTACGCGCGGTAAAAATAACCATTTTTGAGCCGAAAGTGGTTATTTTTACCGCGCGTAATACTATAAAAATACTGAAAATTCGCGAATTTCACATGGCTATATTTTCCGTATTTTACAACATTTCGCAACCAAACTTTGCAATGTTACTAATTTTAGGACGCTCTTTTGAGCTATAACGATAGATTTCGTCTTTCTTGTCTAGATAAAGAAATTAGTCGATAGCTGGAACTGTCTATTAACACAAGATAAATTCCTACATATATCACCTAGATTGAGCTTCATCTAACACCACATCATACAGTTGATATAGTTTCATCATCTCTTGCATTGCGGCATCTACCTCATCCGTATCTTCATCATCATCCTCAACGTCGTTTCTGTGTTTGGAAACAACTTTGTATCTGGATGTTTGCCTTGCCAACTACAAAACAAGAACTTGTACTTATAAACAACTTATACCAGGTTTTTTCTGTGTTGGTGTAATGTACTCAGGTGAATATGATGCTTGTGGTGTTACTCTGAGTGTATATCCACACCAAGCAAGCTTGAAAATGCCTGTCAAGCTTGCCCGGTGTGATTATACACTCAGAGTAACACGACAAGCAACTTGCACTAGGGTTAGAGAAAATAATTTTCTTCCCAGGACTGCTTGTGGAAATAAACATTTCCTACAGGTCAACTGAATATTTGTGTACTACATTTGTGCCTAAACACAATGTTGGAGGGGCAAACTTAGTTTACCAACATATAGCCTTCTTTTGGTCCTGAAAATCTTAGTTTTTAAACTTTTTTGCTTTAAATTTCATGCAATACATAGCCTATCAAGGTTTTCATGATTGAAACATTATTGTTACACCTTTGCTACACAGCTAGTTATTCAGCTATCATTCAGAGGCTCTCCAAAATTATTGGGGGAGGGGGAGTTGCCCCCCTCTCCCCACTGCCTAAACATAGTGATCCAGTTGGCCATGGTTTAACTTCAAGGAAAGATGTCTGTCAACCATATATTGTTGGGCCAATAATAGAACATACATATAATTAGGGTTTCCCTTCAATCTAACAAATTTCCTACAGCTGTTTAACATTTCCTGGGCTTGACTATTTTTTCCACCTTGCCATATACAAGATGTACAAAGATATGGTACAACATTAAATTCATTCAAACCTTTTTTGTCTCTCTCAGTTTCGCATTAATTGCATCAACAGTCAACTCGTTTCTAGTGTTGACTTTTACTTTTGATTTATGTCTATCACTTGATGACAGTTTCGTCTGGAAAAGGATTAGATTTTTTAGTCAATGGTAAGTGCAAGTAAACAGAAGGCATTGAAAATCCTACCAAAATTTCCTGAGATATTGTTTCATCATTTTTCTTTGAAACAGTTCCAGCAAGTCTGAACACTCTTTGAACTGAATGTGAAATGTAAATAATTATATAAACATACATAGTTAAATTGAACTGTTTGTCAAACAGTCTATTTTTTCAAATTATACCTGACTTATGTTCATCAGAGGAAAGTTTATGATCTTCATCAGTGAAGGCCTTTTTAAAGGCATGAGAAACCACTAGGGAAAGATAACATTAAAAGATTATAAGTGCAATAATGAACTTAAACAATGATTATGATGCAGATATCATCAATAAGTCTTAATGAGTTTTAATTATATTCTACACATATACAGCGCGAATGGTATAAAAATGGCAACTGTAATGATATCTGCATGTCTCTTAGTCATTCAGTCTTTGTCTCATGTCATTTACACATATAATGGTATTTAGAAATTATATTTATAGTATGTCAAAGTGGGCATAGCATAAACTTGCCTTGGCATAAGTCCAGTGTATTGTTTATATGGAATTCAGGCCAGCGACAGTATAGCAAGTCTAGTCAACTACTCAACTTTGCAGTTCAGTAAATTCATTTATAATTGAGTGTTGAATTCAAGTGCTGTGCAGAATTACCCTTAAATTTTACGTTCCTACCAATGAAAGTCGCATGCTCAATAAATAAGTCTTGATTTAGCCAGCTCTCGTACGATACATACTTTCAGTAATGATTTGTACATCAAAAGTACACCCTGTAATTTGTAGTATCAAGCGCTAAAATTATACGACATATACACTTACATAATATATCCGCTGGATCTGCGCTTCGTTTCCTTTTAATTCTCAAGATTGCTTTATTACCACCGGGTGAATTTTGAATGTTGACACTGCTCGCTCCTTCTGCTTCGGCCATCTTGAATATGGACTAAAAGACAATACTTCATGTAAGCCCAACAAATTCGTCTGGCTGGTCCCAGTCTCTTTCACGTCTATGTTCTAAATGCAATTACCGTCGTTTGCATCGAACAATGAACAGTCGCCGGGTGTTATTGTGTCAAGAGCCTGTTCGCAGGCTAGTGGTCATTGGACCTGCTGAACCGAACTGTGGAGCAAGAAAAAAACAGAACTGTCGTTTCTATTTATTTTCTACCGAATGCAAGACGACTACATACAATGAGAAGAATTAACGTTATTTTCTGTCGGGTCAACCTCGTTTGGTGGTCTCACGTGAAATGTCTAGGTTTCCAATGGCATTTGAGTGATTTGACATGTTTTAATCTGACCAGCAAATTAAATAACTTAACGCCACTCAATTTAAATGTTGGTTAATTAAGCTCATTAAAACCTTCAAATGCTCATTGCGATTAGATGAAAACGACGGTGTGCTAAAACTACAGTAAATTAGGAACATTTCAGTATGGATTGACACAGAGTTCCTTTATGGTTTTTTTTATGGCGAAATAACAACAGTTGTTCTGTTCTGTGAAAAAAACACGTATATCTTTCTGTACGTAAGCTCGGATCGTCATCAGTGCAAATAAAACAGTTGACAAACTTTTTCTTCTGTGGAATGGGGGGAGGTGTACTAAGTTTTCTGTTGCGCATATCTATCTCCCCCTTCCTCGTGAAAACATATGTAATGGGTGGTCCATTGGATATCTTGGGGGGGGGGGGGGG